GATAACTAGTTGTAGGTCTTTTTGATATTATAATAATTGGCAAAAGATGGATTTGTGTTATAAGATTTAAAAATGGACTTCATACACTTGGCAAATCACTTTAAAAGAAGTACTAAGTTTATGTTTATATATTTCAGTGGTTGAAGTCAGTGGTATCATTACAGACCAGTATAGCTCAGTTTTTAACTAAAAAACAATTAGAACGAAGTAATTCAATTGACAGCTGTAAAAATTCTGAATCTGCTAAAACTGAAAAACCAACAGCCTCAGTCCAACCTGTGCAAAATAGAGACTTAATGGACCAGTCTAGTACTGTATCTGAAAATTCTAACCAGTCTAGTGATCTTAAATCTAAAAATAGTAATTGTAGTGAAAGTAGTGTATCAAATGGACCTCTAGTCTCTAATTGTGACACAAAGGTGAATAATGGACATCTAGATGTAAACAAAGGAGCAGTATCATTATTAAATCCATCTTGTAGTACATTAAATGGTGATATTGAAATGGCAGAACCAACACGATCAAAAGACTGTTCTAGTAACTCTGCGGATGGATCTTCAAATTTTGTGAAATTGACTTGGCCAGGTGGAGATAAACAAGTAAATGTTTCAAGCAATGCACAAACTTCTGGTGGTAGAAATATTGTTATTAGTACTGTGAGTAAAACAAACAATGTGTATACGCGAGTGGTTCCAGGTATTCCTGGGAAGCTGGCGGGACAAACATCAATATTGTCTGCAAGGGGAGGCAGTCAAACAGGAAAACAAGGCAGCACTATACTCAAGTCAAATGTAGCATCGGGCAGCCCTTCAACTAAAGTCATCACTGTTAATCAATCTCAACCAGGTAATAAACTGAAGTTGGTTTAGTTTTCCCTTATGTTAGTGATGAGTGTAATGTCATACATCTTCAGTACTCGCTTCCACTGAATTTTCTAGTTTCTTTGCACAATGTGTTGTATAGTTTGTATGGTTGCTTTCATATAACTCGAAAGGGAAAGCATGAGATTAGATATGCAGGGGAACAATCCTTGTGCAAGGCGTAATTTCTTTGTGACATTTCCTCTTGAATATTGAGTCATGGTAATTTGTCTCTTACCGCTAGTTAGAAAATTATGTGGAATTAATAGTCACTTGCAGCAAGCAATCAGTAATTATTGCAATTTATTGGTAATGTATCCAATAAAGCTGGTTAGATGGATTAACTGCTGAGATATGACCAAAAATGTAAAATTAGTAAAAAAAATTGGTCTGTTTTTGCTTGTTCAGAAATTATGTGGGATTTACAGATAGTCATCTATGGCAAGTTATTGGTAATTGTTAGTTATCCAGAAAAGCTGATTAGATGGATTGACTGCTGAGATATGACCAAAAAAGTTTTATAAGCAAGAAAACCCAACAAAATTACAGAAGTTGTAGTTTGTATTTAAGATTGAGATGGCTTTACAGTATTTGTATTCTATTTTTATAAAACTAACACTGAATGACAGCTAGTGACTATAACTGAAGTTGATAAATAAATATGTACCAAAAAACAACAACAAAAATTATATATCTCCAGGGCCCTCAATCCAATATGGGGGAAGCGTGTCGCTACCCTCAGCAGGGGGAATTTTAGTGTATGGGGGGAATTTTCCTCTTTTCTTTTATGATCAGATATCAAATAAACTTATTTAAATATCAGCTGTTTTTTATTTACATGCATATTATTTTTTTTTTAAATCCCAAATAGGTAACACTAAACTGTTCAGAAGAGATTGATAAGATTTGAAGAAAAGTTTTTAACACCTTACACCATCAGATCTTTATGCTGCTTAGCTTTCTTTATGATTCCCCCCCCCCCCCCCCCAAAAAAAAAATAAATAAATAAGCATTTAGAAACACATTCAGACAAATGTCTCCATTTCCAGTAATATTAACAATACATGGACCTAAAGTAAATTCTATTCATAAACTACATTTCTAGTGTTCTAACACACCTTTTGATAAGACAAGGCTTCCTTTTCTTGACTTTGTAAAACATTCGTAAAAATCGGCATCGCGAAAATATGTGACAAATGAAAATTTGTTTGCTTTCTTTTCACACCTCCACAATTCTAGTTGTTTCTGATGTAAATTATATAAAATTAAATTGATTGTTATTTATTATAAGATCGTTTTTCATCAGTTATTTAATAAAGTATCATGAAAACAAAACTTACAAGTTTGTAATTTACGGCAAAATTTACTGTGGTTGATGTAACATTTTGAAGACAAAAAAATGATTTCATGATTAAACAATTTGCATGAAATCAAATTGTTGATGGGAATTGTGATTTTTTCTGCATATTTCTGTTGAAATTTTAGCATTTTTACAGGATGAAAGGCCAATATGTGACGGTAGATTTTGGGGGGAAAAAAACAAACGGAAACGTGCAGACATGTACTGTACGATATTCCGCTTATAAAATAGACGTCAAATAGATGGATTTTAATTTTCAAAATCAACATTAGTTTTCATTTTTTCTCTTTAACACTTTATATGTTTTGAGGGGGAATTTTTACCTCTGTTAGGGGGAAAAAAAACATACTATTTTGGTGGGGGACTGCGGCCGAATATCGGCCGCAGATTTGGTTGATCGAGGGCCCTGATCTCATGAAGGCTTATAAGAGTACATAAATGTTGGATAGTAATTAGTAATTCTGTATTAAGTTTTAAATGACCAGCTATTAAAGGTATGATGGGCTTAAAAGGAAAATAGTTACAAATGTTTTTAATTGCTTAAACATTTTGCCACAGCAATTATTATTGTTATACAGTATACACTGCATATTTATTTTTCAGCATCAAAACTTGCAATATCCCAGGGCAAGGCACCTCAAGTAACCAGTACAGGGGCTAATCAGACTTCATCGGCAATAATCTCATTGAACAACACATTGCAGCAGTGTCTAGAAGGAACTGCAGGTGAGGAATAACCCTGACATAAATTTGTTATTTATATTTAGCTTGGCTGTTCAAAAAGTAGGGAGAGTTGTTGTTCTCATCTATGTGACTGCGCCACACTTTGGTTAAGTTTTTTTCTCTGTGCAAATTGCTTTCTACAAAATTAATGAAGGGAATGGGTTGAAACTGAACACACTTATTTGAGAGTATAAAAGGAAGTCACTTTCTTAGACCCATAACTCTTACATGGATTTTGATAGCGTTATAACTCATTTGAACTTTAAAAAAGTCTACAAAACAATATCCTGGCTCTTGTTTAACTATCAATCACTGAGAATACTAGAGCACACTGTCCTACAAACAGCTCTTGTTGTTGAATGTTATGTTGTAAGAATTAGGAGAGATTTCTTTCACCTGAAGCTTTCAAATAATTACCTATTGCAAATGCTTAACAATTAAAAACTGAATAATTAGATGAAAAGTCACTGTGTATGTATATATTTGTTTCAGATTTGGAGTTGAGCAAACTAGATGAGAAGTTGATACAGATATTAGCATGGCAGCGACTTCAACAATTGATGCCAAGTAAATCAGGCAGTGAGTCACAGAGAAAAAACTCAGGTTCAATAAATGGTCTCCTAACTACACCAGGTACAAATCAGTACACTTTTATCACAATAAAGATTTCTAATGTGTAGTTAATCAGATTTCCTGTTTGGTTTTAATCACCTAGTGATTTATCCCCTTTCTTCTAAATCGCTTTTTGATTGTATCATACTTTGAGATTGTTTGTTAATTTTATTGTTAAGATTTCATTGCTCCCATTGTAAACTAAAGATTTCATTGCAGGGAGCAATCTATTGTATTTTCAATATATTTTTATAGTGAATTAAGAATATGTGTTATAGTCCAACAAATGGAATATTGATAGTATTGAATGTGCATGAAAATGAAGTCTTAAATTGAGACTTCTTTAAGTACATTAACTTTAACTCCATTAAAGTACATAGATATTGTTTGATATAAAATAGATCTTGTCAAATTATTCTTGTTAGACATTTTTATCATTGTAAATTTAGTATTGAGACCTGAAATCAGATTCTTTTTTTTTTTTCAGACATAATGATAAGTAAATGATAAGAAAAACCTGAGAAAGGGTAATATCCAGTTTTATTAGGAGTTAAAAATGATTAAAACCTAGTGAGGAAATCTTTTTAGATATGTAATGTATAGTTAATTTAACCTCATCAGGAAATGTAATTTATGTCAATTCATGTCATATTGCAGGTCTTCAGGACGTACAGGCTAGAGCCGTGTTGTGTCCGTTGTCAGGTAGAGGGGAGGCTATTCCTATGCCATATAGAACCTTGTCACTAGGCACAGGTACACTGACTTATTTTGCTTTCTAAATTTCTTGACAATATAAGTTTATAATTAATGCATATATGTTTAAAAAAAAAAACTTTCATGATGTTTATTAACCTGTGGTTCTACTTGGTTGCCTGCTTGTGGCTGAAGTAATGCAAACAGGAGTCTACCTGCACCAGTAAAGTCGAATGATTTTATAGTGTTACTGTGGTTTTAATGTGATAAAACAAATCCTGCAGGTTACAGTAAACACTGGGTAGAGACTAGCAAGCTTGCCTTCCATCTGTTTGGCAGTGCAGAGATACTGAATGTAATAACTTACCAACAGGGAAGTTTGTTAATGAATTTTTGAATTCTATCTCAACTGTGTTTAATTTTTCAGGTGCTGATATGGATGTTTGTCTGGGCCAGTATGGACAATGCAATTTTATCTCAGCTAAACATGCATTCATTTTCTATGATGAGGTAAGGCTGGTTTGACCTAGAACAGATGTCTATGTATTTTGTTTCAAAATAAATAGAGGAAAGCATACTTTTGGTATCATGTTAAATGGGTTTGTAATAGTAGCATGGAGAAATCCTGCCTGGCTTAGAGATAGGGCAATTTATAAAGATCTAAAATTTGCCAAAGCATAAGTTCGTTATGTGATGATTTGGTTGGACATGGAATTTCTATTGCTATTCATTCACTGTTTTACATGAATTATGTTAATTTATTGTTGAGAAATGAGTTAGTACTTGTACAGAATCACATGGTAGATGATTGCCTGCTGGGATATGTTAGAAATAGATTGAAATGAAACAGATTAATAGAAAACTTATTAAAAATTTTCAAGGTGGGGGGGGGGGGGGAAAAAAAAAAACCCCAAGATAAATAGAAAACTGATAAAAGTATAAAAACATTAAATAAATTTTTCATACAAAATTTAATGTCTAGATTAATAGACTGATTGTTATTTAATATGTAACTTGGATTATAAGGCTTTCATGTAATATCCTGTATATACATTTCAGACTAGTAAGCATTATGAGTTATTGAACTACAGCGAGCATGGAACAACTGTTGACAATGTGCTTTACTCCTGTGATTTTTCCGACAAACCCGCCACAACTCCACAGCCATCAGCTGTTGTAGCAGCTGTTAGACATCTCAACAAAACACATAAACCAAAAATGAAAGCTGACGAAAGGTTAACAATGACAGCTCGACCACCTGATGTAAGGACTTGGTTTTAGATATTCTCCCCTGTTTTAATACCCACTAACATTTGTTTATATTATGTTAAAAATGAGAAGGTAAAATTAAACTAGAAATAAAAGCAGCTATGCTATTATCAGTGAAATATTAAGAAATAAAACAGTCATGGTAGCCCTTTGTTATACAGTTGGATCATTAAGGATTCAATTGCAGATAGTTTAAAGATTACATACAATATATTGTTTTATTATTTTGTTCCATTTGATGGCCTTATTATTTTGTTTCATTTGACGACCTTTCTATAGCTACAAGAATGACGGTGGTTCTATTTAGTTGCATAATGGCACCTGAATTAAAGGTATATAGATATACACTCCACTTACAACGAGATCGGTTTTAACAAGGTACCGCTTACAACGTACATTCTACTGTGTCCTGACCTTTTTCCTTCTATTTTCCTTTCATTTTTTGTGTCGCCTGTACGGAGTAGTGGCGACATATAGGGATCACTTCTCCGTCGTCCGTCTGTCTGTCTGTCCGGACTTCTCCTCATAAACTACTGGTGCAATTTCATCCAAACTTTACAGGAATGATCAGTACCAAGTCTAGTTGTGCATATTGTCAGGATTTTCTGGTTCAATGATTTTTGTCAGAGTTATGGCCCTTTAATAATTTTTAATTTTAAAGTTTGTCCGGACTACTTCTCTTATACCACTAATGCAATTTCAATGAAACTTTACAGGATTGATCTGTAGCTCAAGTCCTTGCGCATATTGCACGGGTTTTCCGGTTGAATGATTTTTGGCCGAGTTATGGCCCTTTGATAAAAAGGTTTCTTTTTCTGTGTGTTGCCAGATACACAAAAGCTTGTCCGGACTACTCCTCATAAACTACTGGTGCAATTTCATCCAAACTTTACTGGAATGATCAGTACCAAGTCTAGTTGTGCATATTGTCAGCATTTTTCGGTTCAATGATTTTTGTTTGAGGTATGGCCCTTTAATAATTTTTATTTTTAAAGTTTGTCCGGACTACTTCTCTTATACCACTAATGCAATTTCAATGAAACTTTACAGGATTGATCTGTAGCTCAAGTCCCTGCGCATATTGCACGGGTTTTCCGGTTGAATGATTTTTGGCCGAGTTATGGCCCTTTGATAAAAAGGTGTTTTTCTGTGTGTTGCCAGATACGCAAAAGCTTGTCCGGACTACTCCTCATAAACTACTGGTGCAATTTTATCCAAACTTTACAGGAATGATCAGTACCAAGTCTAGTTGTGCACTGTCCGTCTGTCAGTCCGTCTGTCACAAAATTTGTCCCAACATCAAATTGGCCATCATGAGGCGACACATGTGATTACTGATCGCTCTTGTTTTATCGTTTATAACGAGATCGGTTTTAGCGAGATATCGGTTACAACGTACATAATTTCGCCGTCCCATGGGTATTTTTCAGAATTTTAACGAGGTCACTTCATTTGCACTTCGTCTGCATCAGTTTGTCACCTTGAGAAAAACAATGATGACCAATAATAAAGGTCATTTAAGGGTCGAGCAATTAACGATCAAATATGTCAGCCTTTTTTTGTCAGTGCTCCGGGCTAAATTGTCCTTAAGGTGACGAAATGTCATAACAAAACAATTTCATTGACTGATTAGCACAAATCTTGTGGTGTTATTCGGTGTTTGTGAGAAATGCACTGCGTGACTTTTGAAAAGGAATTTTTAAATGTTGTGTTTTCATGTTTTGTTTAAATTCTATGATAGCTATATATATTTATATACATGTATATTTAAATAAAACATAAACTTCTGATTGCAAAGAGTTACCTCCCATTATATACTCTTCAAAAAGGATGCAGGCGAAAGAGAAAGTAGAAATAAATGATGCTCGACGATTTCTCATTTGTTCTGTCCCAGTTATAACGAGGAATCATCCGAAGTCCCGACGATCTCGTTGTATCCGGAGTGCACTGTATTGAGTTTTGTTGATTCACATATTTGTTGAAGATGAAAACAAAATTGATACCTAAAAAGTTCCCATTCTTTTGACTTAAGTTAATATGCTATTGTTTTCTTTCAATGTTTACAGACTCGGTTAAGGTGCAACTGTAAAGGCAGCAGCTCAAGTCTGATAGGAGGAAGTGGAGCAGGCTGGGAAGGTACAGCCATTCTACACCACGGCAGTTACATCAAAGTGGGCTGTATACAGTTTGTGTTCAGCATTGTAGATCATGCTACATCTCAACCTATACCAGGTGTTAAGAGAGAACCTATGTCATTATTAAAATCACATCTAAAAGGAGTTCCGTAACATTTAATAAAATATTCTGTTTTTACATTTGATGTCTTCTGTGATAAATCTTTAACCAATTTAGATAGATTTGTAAGATACTGGGCATTATTTTAAGAATTTTACATTTTTTGTGTTTCAAATGTAAAAAAAAAATCTTAACAAATTGCACTGTATAGTCTTAAAGTCTTATATGTTGATCAAATATTTCTCAACATTGAGAAATAGTCACAGAAAAAGTCTTCCTTGACTTAGTTTTATAATTCTTCTTCCTGATGTTTACCATTGTAACTGTGATAGATATATTAAATAACAATACTTCAAATTTTTTAAATGTTATAGATATTACACGCTGAAGTAACTGAAGTTTAAACTTGTATTTTTTAAAAGCTACAGCCTTGATAACAAATAAGTCTTTTCTTGTGACATTTTTGAAGGAGATGGACCTTCTATTGAATCAGCTATCACATTTGATTGTATAATCCTTGGTTTCACCAAAATTTACATATTTTTCTTGAATGAAATCAGAAAAAAGCATTTGTTAAAAGAAAACACTCGCATTGAATATTGGAATATCACAGAACACATGAAATGTTGTTTTTATTTTTTCTTTCAAATTATATTTTTCTTGAAGGAGCAAAAAGTTACGTTTTAGTTTTCTGTTAAACTCTGCAATAAACTGGCAAGAATGAAATATATCTTTTTTATCTATTGTTTAAAATGTTAAGATTATTTGTTAGATTGTTGTCTGAAGGGTTGTAATCTATTTTGCCAAAGTATTTTGTTCATTCTTTGATTTTTAGCTCACCTGTCACAAAGTGACAGGGTGAGCTTTTGTGATCGCTTTTCGTCCGGTGTCCGTCCGTCCGTCCGTCCGTAAACTTTTGCTTTAAATGACATCTCCTCATAAACCACTGAGCCAATTTCATCCAAACTTCACAGGAATGTTCCTTTGGTGGTCACCTTTAAAAATTGTTCAAAGAATTTAATTCCATGCAGAACTCTGGTTGCCATGGCAACCGAAAGAAAAATCTTTAAATATCTTCTTTTAAACAACCCTAAGAGCTAGAGCTAAGATATTTGGCATGAAACATCTTCTAATGAGTGTCTACCAAGTTTGTTCAAATAAAAGCCCTGGGGTCAAAATTGGCCCCGCCCCCGGGGGGTCATTGATTTTCCCTATATGCATATAGTAAAAACTTAAAAGATCTTCTTTTAAAGAACTGTAAGAGCTAGAGCTAAGATTTTTGGCATGGAACATCTTCTAGTGAGTGTCTACCAAGTTTGTTCAAATAAAAGCCCTGGGGTCAAAATTGGCCCCGCCCCGGGGGGTCATTGATTTTCCCTATATGCATATAGTAAACACTTAAAAAATCTTCCTTTAAAGAACTGTAAGAGCTAGAGCTTAGATATTTGGCATGAAACATCTTCTAGTGAATGTCTACCAAGTTTGTTCAAATAAAAGCCCTGGGGTCAAAATTGGCCCCGCCCCAGGGGGTCATTGATTTTCCCTATATGCATAAAGTAAAAACTTAAAAAATCTTCTTTTAAACAACCCAAAGAGCTAGAGCTTAGATATTTGGCATGAAACATCTTCTAGTGAATGTCTACCAAGTTTGTTCAAATAAAAGCCCTGGGGTCAAAATTGGCCCCGCCCTGGGGGGTAATTGATTTTCCCTATATGCATATAGTTTAAACTTAAAAAATCTTCTTTTAAAGAACCGTAAGAGCTAGAGCTTAGATATTTGGCATAAAACATCTTCTAGTAAATGTCTACCAAGTTTGTTCAAATAAAAGCCCTGGGGTCAAAATTGGCCCCGCCCCAGGGGGTCATTGATTTTCCCTATATGCATATAGTAAAAACTTAAAAAATCTTCTTTTAAAGAACTGTAAGAGCTAAAGCTTATATATTTGGCATGAAACATCTTCTAGTGAATGTCTACCAAGTTTGTTCAAATAAAACCCCTGGGGTCCAAATTGGCCCCTCCCCAGGGGTCATTGATTTTCCTTATATGCATATAGTAAAAACTTATAAAATCTTCTTTTAAAGAACCCAAAGAGCTAGAGCTAAGATATTTAGCATGAGACATGTTCTAATGGGTGTCTACCAAGTATGTTCAAATAAAAGCCCTGGGGTCAAAACTGGCCCCGCCCTGGGGGTCATTGATTTTCCTTATATACATAGCAAAAACTTAAAAATCTTCTTTAAAAAAACCCAAATAACTAGAGTTTAGATATTAAGCATGAAACATCTTTAAGTAAATATCTACAAAGTTTGTTCAAATAAAAGCCCAGGGGTCAAAACTGGCCCTGCCCGAGGGGTGTCATTGTTTTTTACTCTATGTGTATAGTAAAAACTTAAAAAATCTTCTTTTAAAAAACCCAATGAGCTAGAACTTAGATGTTTTGCATGAAACATCTTCTTATGGGTGTCTACCAAGTCTGTTCAAATAAACAAATAAAAGCCCTTGGGTAAAAATTGGGCCGGGGGGGGGGGCTATATACAGGTGAGCGACCTCAGGGCCATCATGGCCCTCTTGTTATGTCAGCTGTCTATTTATATGTTTGTTTTTAAATGTAAAATGTTGAGAAAAGTAATTTAAAACTTGCATAACATATTTTGTAAAGATTAAAGAACGAAGTGAACAATTTAAAATTGTGGAGCTATCTTTGGACTTAAGGTGTTAATTTCTATAATGACAGAACTTGTGTGGATCTCTTTTTGCATATTCAATTCAACAGCCCTAAAATATGATCTCCGCAGTTATAGTTTCAACAAGAAGTTATATTCTAACATATGTAATTATTAGTTTATGTAAACATAAATATGTGGACGTTTCACACATAGGATAGAACATATACAAAGTATGTTGATGTTGTTCAGAATTAATGGTAGAATTTTGTATGTTATCTACGTATGAACTTGTTGGTACTACTGATATTAAATTAGCTTACATGGATGAAGGTTTTTTGAATTTATAATATTCTTTTAAGTATAAAGTCGGAAAGGAACACAACTACAGAATTTTCAGGATTATTAAAAATTTTAACCTTAAATGTTATTAAGTATATCTGCTGAAATCTTAAAAGTTTAGCTTTGGTTAGATACATCACTATGCAGATTGACCTTGTAGAAAAGGCGAGAAATTTTCAGTGATAGTGATTTGTTTTGATATTTTAGGTGTAAATGCTAATTCTTTGATGTTTGAGTAAAAATTGAGTTTGTATTGTGGATTAAGTGTTTGAAGAAGTATAGTTATATCAGTTTCCCGATGATCTCAGATAAGTACAGTGCTGAAGTTCTTCTTATGAGCTGTTTGTTATGAAGATAGTGAGAAATCAGTTTTAGGCCTATTTTTAGATTTGATATAGGATGGTTCCCTGTGGGTACAATGGTACTGCATTTTTCATGGCAAATAGTGAAAATAAAAGAACTTGATTTTACATCTTTGAATTTTTACATTTCAATGAAAGTTTCAGTCAATGATTTATGACAGTTCTGTTTTAGTAAGTCTGCCATGTTTCTAGTTGAAGCTTATTGGCATGTATTTGGAGCATCATGGTATCTCAACCAACATGGCACCCAAGGGGACTATTATTATACATGATCTGTAAATTCATTACATATATTTGATCATCGTTCAATCAATAGAAACTTTTTGCTTTAACTTCGTGTTTCGGTTTTATGGAAGTTCAACAAGTTGATGTTCAATGTTACTTTGTTTTCATAACAGAATTTTTCTTAACCATGTGTAATTTATCAATTGTATTTGGTTTCTTTGTTACTAAAATCAAGCAGAATTCAATTACAATGAGCAATATGAAATTTTTCAGGCCCAAATTCATTGTCTTTTTCTCTGCATTTTATTATACCCCCAAAAACGAAGTTTGGGGGGGTATATAGGAGTCACCCGGTGGTCGGTCGGTCGGTCGGTCGGGCGGTCGGTCGGTCGGTCGGTCGGTCCAGACGTCCGTTGCATTTTCCTTGTCCGGAGCATAACTTGAAAACTAATGGTTGGAATTCAATATAACTACATACAATGGTCAAGCACATTGAGAGGAAGTGCAGTGCACAAGAACCATAACTCTATCATGACTAATTACAGAGTTATTGCCCTTTGTTACTTTTCCTTGTCCGGGGCATAACTTGAAAACTACTGGTTGGAATTGAAAACAACTTCATACAATTGTCAAACACAATAAGGGGAAGTGCAGTGCACAAGAACCATAACTCTATCTAAAGTAATTACAGAGTTATTGCCCTTTGTTGCTTTTCCATTGCTTTTTTTTTGTCCGTTGCATTTTCCTTGTCCGGAGCATAACTTGAAGACTAATGGTTGGAATTCAATATAACTACATACAATGGTCAAGCACATTGAGAGGAAGTGCAGTGCGAAAGAAACATAACTCTATCTTGACTAATTACAGAGTTATTGCCCTTTGTTACTTTTCCTTGTCCGTGGCATAACTTGAAAACTATTGGTTGGAATTCAAAACAACTTCATACAATTGTCAAACACAATAAGGGGAAGTGCAGTGCACAAGAACCATAACTCTATCTAAAGTAATTACAGAGTTATTGCCCTTTGTTGCTTTTCCATTGCCTTCTTTTTTTTTGTCCGGACCATAACTTGAAGACTAATGGTTGGAATTCAATATAACTACATACAATGGTCAAGAACATTGAGAGGAAGTGCAGTGCATAAGAACCATAACTCTATCTAAAGTAATTACAGAGTTATTGCCCTTTATTACTTTTCCATTGCTTTCTTTTGTCCGGACCATAACTTGAAGACTAATTGTTGGAATTCATTATAACTTCATACAATGGTCCAGCACATTGAGAGGAAGTGCAGTGCACAAGAACCATAACTCCATTTTGACTTATTACAGAGTTACTGCCCTTTGTTTCTTTTCCTTGTCCAGAGCATGACTTTAAAACTACTGGTTGGAATTCAAAACAACTTCATACAATGGTCAAGCACAATAAGGGGAAGTGCAGTGCACAAGAACCATAACTCCATCTTGACTAATTACAGAGTTATTGCCCTTTGTTACTTTTCCATTGCTTTCTTTTGTCCGGACCATAACTGGAAAACTTATTGTTGGAATTCATTATAACTTCATACAATGGTCAAGCACATTGAGAGGAAGTGCAGTGCATAAGAACCATAACTCCATCTTGACCAATTACAGAGTTACTACCCTTTGTTACTTTTCCTTGTCCAGAGCATGACTTGAAAACTACAGTTTGGAATTCAAAACAACTTCATTCAATGGTCAAGCACAATAAGGGGAAGTGCAGTGCACAAGAACCATAACTTCATCTTGACTAATTACAGAGTTATTGCCCTTTGTTACTTTTCCTTGTCCAGAGCATAACTTGAAAACTACTGTTTGGAATTCAGTACAACTTCATACAGTTGTCAAGGACATTAAAAGGAAGTGCAGTGCACAAGAGCCATAACTCCATTTTGACAAAATACAGAGTTACTGCCCTTTGATACTTTTCCTTGTCCGGAGCATAACTTAAAACGTACTGGTTGGAATCCAAAACAACTTCATACAATGGTCAAGCACAATAAGAGGAAGTGCAGTGCACAAGAACTATAACTCTATCTTCAGTATTTATAGAGTTATTGCCCTTTGTTCTTTTTCTTTGTCTTTCTGGACTTATTACAGAGTAATTCAATTAAACTTCATCAATGGCCAACCACATTGAAAGGAAATGCAACATACATGAACCACAATTATCTTTAATTGCCCACAACCATAACTCTATGTTTCAATTCTTTTACAAGGTATTCTGTTACTAGTAACATCCTCATTTCCGAAGCAGACTTGTGGGGGTATTAATCACATTTAGTGATAGTTCTAGTTTTTATAAACTATACATTTTAAACAAAAAGAGTAGGAGCATGATTCCAATTGCCAGAAACAGAATGAAGAGAACACATTTAAGCTAACAACAGCACCAGTTTTCATTGTAGGAGTGTGTATGATTTTTTTTTAATATATAGATACAATAGAAGATTTTAGTTTTTACAAAGTAATTGTGTTTTTAAATGTGCTACACAGGGGTATGGAAGTGCAATGTTTGTTATTTTATCTGTTACCATAGTAACCAGTAGCATATTGTCATTTTGTTACGAATTGAAGTCGATGTGAATCGATAACGTTAGTACAAGATATTTATTCAACTATTTTTGTCATCTTTGTAATGTGTTATATCTGTGTGATGAATTTAACCCTAAACCTGCTGGATTTGTGCAATGGACTTGCCCTGCTGTAAATTTAGAATTGTCCATTTGAATTTTAAGGGATTTCATTTACAAAATACAAAAACTGAGCTTGAAACAGTGTAGAGTGTGGTCACACTGCACTTCAGAGTTTTTACTGAATAACTAGCCATAGCCTTCTGACAGCAACTGATGCTTCCCATGGAACCAGTGAAAACCAAGATCAGTCAGAATATCCTTGTGATCAAATCATGGTCTGTACTAATCAGTGTGTAGTTATTTCAAAGTTTTCCCTAAATATGATGAGTGGTTTTGTTTCAATTGAAAGATGGGGGAAATCCATTAAAGAAATTTAGCAGGTTATTTACAGGGTTTATACAACAATAATTTAACAACTGTCATTTGTAGTTTTATACATATGGCAATGTTAAGAAAGTACAATTTGTTTTCATGTTTTGTTTTATATCTACATGTTAGTGATTACTGGGCATAATCTCCCTTTAATGTCACTCCAAAGGTAGTATTGTTATAGGAGACATTGTTAATTCCCCTTTGATAGTGTATTAGTAGAAAAGCTTTCATAAATTTTTGGATCTGTGTCAAATTGTCCTGCTTTTATCCTGTCTTGAGAGGATTTTGTTGTTAAATGTTTGTCTGAAGTTACTTGAAAATAAAAGCACTGCTACAAAAAGATCTGGAGCAGTGGCCTAGATGCTGAAGTATTTGGTTCTCAACACGTGCATCATGGGTTCAAGCCCTACACAACCTTGACTGCTTACCCCAGAACTGGTTATAGGTTTCTTTAAGAATATACTTTATAATTTAAAAATGTTTTACGATCAAGAATAAATAAACATATTTATAACCATTTGTCATTAAAAAAATCATGTTATAGATTTTTTTATAGCATTTTACTTTTATCCAGTTTGAGAAATGTTTTATACCAAGGCTAAGATATTTATGTTGGTTTTTTTATCAACAATTTGTAACTTCTACATATGATCCAAATATATTTTTTTCCTTGAAACTGGACAGTACATGTATTTCAGAATATGAGCCGCGTCATGACAAATCCAACATAATGTGTTTGCGACCAGCATGGATCCAGATCAGGATCCATACTGTTCACTGTCAGTTTCTCTACTTGTTATAGAGTT